GTTACCTGAACCTCCAGATGATTGAGAAAAGATCATTCTGTATGGTGGGACATATCATTTGAAGATCATTTAATGACCATCCAGGAGTTGTTGATGATGAACCGTTGAATAAAACTCTAAGTTCCTTGGTCATTCTCATTTCGTTAAGAATCCCATGATGAGGAAGATAAAATATGAAATTGTTTGATTTTCTGATGAGAAATCATCCTTTGACATATATATCCTAATTTTATATATTCATTCATAAAATCCTTGTATATCTGACATAACTTTGAATTCTTGTTCAATTCATTCTCCTATGAGAAGAACTGTCTAATTGCCTTTCGTTTCGAATCACCAAGATAGGATTGAGATTGTTCGAGAAGATATTTCACAATGAATTGACCACTTTCTGAACGACTGGTAGTTGATTGAAACATGGTTCTATATTCTTGTTCTTCAGGTGTCAACATTAGTTCAGCTACTGATGAGCACTCTTCAAGTTCCCAGAATTTTTTCAACTGATTTTGCACATGTGAATTGATATCATTGAGATGCAGGAAACATGACAGATAAGTGAAACCTACAGATCTTAAAGAGCCTGAAATTACCCATCTCAAAACTGTCCTTTATAAAATGGTTTGGTGTTCACCTAAAATGATCTGACCAATACATCGAAGGCGATAACAAATTCCTGCACCAATCAGCATGTCAATAATTTCACCTGGAATATTAGATGTTATTTTTTTTGCTTTTGGGTGTATGATAAATTGACATTCATCATACAGGGCGTGGAAAGAAATTCTGAATTGAGACTCTATCACGAATCTGCGATTAGAGGTCTATAAAAATCACAAGTTTCCATCGTTCAACTTTGAACCCCCTGATTGGGTATGAAAGTATTGAAACGGAATATTCTCAGATAAATTATGAACATACAAAAATGGATATATATTTATATAAAGCAATACATTGAGAATTCGCATTCTCTATGTGATGAGAATATTTACTCTTTTTCAGTTGATTCAATAGAAAACAACTACTTTCCTGGCTGTATGCCACGACGAACATTGAATTATATCTATTGAACACACACGATAAGAGTTTGAAAATAAAATATAAAAACTTCTGAAATTGGGAATTTGCATTCTCCTTCAGACGAAAATATGTATATGCACACATCATTCTGAATATTCAACAGAAAACAACTACTTTCCTGGCTATTTGCCGCGTCGAACATTTAATTATATCTGATGAACATTCAAAAGGAGAACATGAAAAATAAAGAATAAAATCCTCCGAAATTGAGAATTGACATTCTTCTTCAAATCGGATGAATAATATGATGAATAATGATATAGAAATATGACTTACCAATATATTCAGCATTGAAATGAAAATTGGAAAGTATAGGAGAAGTATACTGGCATGAACTCTGATCTTGATGAGCTTGAAAACTTCCAAAAATAATCATTTATATCAGTGATATGGAAAATATTATCTCTCACACACAGGTTATATGACTTTATTGCAATGAAACCATTTCAATAGATATAATTCAATGTTCGTCGTGGCATATAGCCAGGAAAGTAGTTGTTTTCTATTTAATCAACTGGAAAAGAGTAAATATTCTCATCACATAGAGAATGCGAATTCTCAATGTATTGCTTTATATATATATATCCATTTTTGTATGTTCAGAATTTATCTGAGAATATTCCTTTTCAACAATTAGATGTTATATTTGCTAATCTAATATTTCCTGGGATTTTGATCGGTGACACAGCTGATTGGCGTGGAATATTCGAACTAATTTGGGGAACTATTAAGTATGAACTGTTGGTTCTAAAATTGTTGTCACAAGAATGAATGACTAATGCAGCTCTATGTTCAATAACTGAAGAGATTTGTCCAATACCTATTACTGACGAATCGAAATTTGTTTTTCCTAACTGTAACTTTTCGCATAATTCTTGAGTGATCATGTTTGATTGACTTGCCGAATCCAGTAAGGCTCTGCAAGTATGTGTATTATTTAACGAATCAGTAATCTGAACAAATGCTGTGGAAATAAATGTTTATTGATTGAGATCCTGATCCAGTAACACTTACAATTGAGGAAGGAGGTTAATTTCGTGATTCTTCATTAGTTGATACCTGATTGATAGATTGGATTTGATTTCCGTTGGTCTACCACTCTACAGGGTGTCCCAAGTTATCGTATACAAACAATTTCTTGCTCATTTGACAAGATAATTGGAACATCCAGAAACTGCATTGAATGGCATTGAAGTATCTTCTTCATTACATAAAAAAACCTATTACGTTTGACAGTTCTCTGGCAGCTATCCCCCACTTTTTATTTCCAAATGACACTCCCTGTATATAGTCATAAAGTCAAAATTGCGTGCCATCCTATAAGGAATACAACGATAGCATATACTTGGTATTTTTTTTATTATTAATAAGATTATTTTAACCTATTTCAATGATAGTGTTATTCATATCTCCCAAATAATCACCAAAAAGACGAAGTCTAGCATTGATTGACTCTCTTTTTCTGAGTAATGGTGTGATTTCATCATTATTTTGCTGTTCTCTTCTTGGCATGATAATATTTGAATCTCTAACAGACTGAAACAAAGCTATAAGAATCGGGATGGATTGATAAAGGAAGGCAATAGACGGACCACTCTGTTCTTCACTGCTTGACTCCTGACGAACAGCTTTTTTTTCACTAAGGTCTCCAATTAAACAGGTAGGTACTTGAATATCCGAGCGACGAAGGACCATTATGTTTGGTTTCTTATTGGATTTACTTCGTGTTTGATGAATTGATTGATTGAATAGTATTTTTTATAAAAACATGGTTTATTGAGAACAACTTATTATTTTTTTTGCGACAACATTCTTCCATGACAACGAACTTCATATGATACTTAGTGTGATGATCTTTGATAATCCATGATAATGAATTCTGTACAAGATACATTCTATCGAAGTGAAATTATTGGATTTATTGTTGCTACATGGTGTCATGTGCGCTCTACTCTGGAAGCTGATAGTCATCATTTCCAGAGTGATACCGATCTAAGGATGAGGAAAAGAAGCCGACATGGAGATACAATTATTTCGTGGAGCTCTCGTTTGATAATTATTGTTGCTCAATATTCAATTATACAGCCCATTCTCGCATTCCCAAACCACTTTCTGGTCCTCTATCCAATTTTTTATTTCACCACTAGCTATAGAACCTAACATTATTTACTCCTTTTGAAGGTGTAGAGTGTGTTTTTATTACCAAGGTTGTTTTCGTCATATCATGAACCACTAGTCAATAAAGATATAGCAACCCCTGTTATAATTTACCCGAATTCTCTGTTCTGATGCGGTATTCACAGGAATGGCACTCGAAACTAGTAGGTATTAACTACGAAATAGCCACAATGCTCACAGTGGAATGAAATGTTAAATAAATGTAAAAAGCTCAAAGTCATTTCCACACAGTGTTCATAAAATGAACAACAATGGTAGATTTCGGGAGAAAAACAACTACTTCCCTGGCTAATGCCACGCAGGATATTGAATTACATCCTCCCGAAATCTATGCATCTGCTGAGTCGGCGGTCTTAGGACTGCTGGCTGGAGACTACACTGCACTGATGAGAGTCAAAGAGCTCGAAACCGGTCTGTGGTTGTCTAGCGGCCTGGCTTTATCGAAATCAATAGGCATTCAGGAAATAATCACCTGTATCAGTATTCGTTTAAACGAGTCGATGCATAGATTTCGGGAGGATGTAATTCAATATCCTGCGTGGCATAAGCCAGGGAAGTAGTTGTTTTTCTCCCGGAATCTATCATTTTTGAACACTGTGTGGAAATGACTTTGAGCTTTTTACATTTATCTAATAGGTATTCATTAATAACGACTGGTCATATGCTGTCATGGTGACTACATTTCAATTAGAATTGAAAAGAAGTGCTCTCATAGTGACATAGGTTCACATTTCAGTTCCACAGAATTATAATGATTGAAATATATCGCTACTGGTGAAAAAAAATTAATATACACCGTAGAAGTGAAGAATATTATCGACACTGGACCTCATACACCTGGACTCAAGCCTCGGGATAAAATCTTGGTCTCTGGGTAATAATCATATTCATTACTACCTTGGTGTATAAATAACTATTTCCACCACAAGCTATATAAGTTTTTCAAAGCGTTGAATGTGTTTTTTCTAGCAATTTTCGTCATTTGATGAACTACTAGTCAACAAAGACATAGCAACCTCTGTTATAATCTAGGTTATAATTAACTCAAATTCACTGTTCTGATGTGAGATTTGCAGGAATGACACTCGAATCTAGTAGGTATTTATCAAACACGATTTGTCATAATGCTGTCATTGACACGGCTTCAGATAGATTAGATTTTGATTAGAATTGAAAAGAACTGATTCCATAGTGACAATATAAATACATATTTTAACTCCACAGAGCTTCAATGATCGAAATATATGGCTAATGGTGGAAACGATTCAATATAAACCATGGTAGTAAAGGTAGTATCGCTACCACGGGACTTTATATCTCTCGGCTGAAGCCTCTAGGTATAATCTTGGACCCTGGGTAATAATGATATTTTTCCATCCACTAACTTGATGTATGAATAACTAGTAAATCACTCAGTTTCTGGAGGAATGATAAGAAGTTGATTTGATTCCAAATTCCCTCAGAACACCTATCGAGATTGTCCAACAACCTCAATGAGTAGGTATCATTTTGAAATTTTGACATTTTTTCAGTCACTGACATGCAGACTGAATCCTGCCATCATGAAAGCTTTCAAAGGTGATCATTAAAAACAACAATCACTACTTCCAACTTCAACACCCTGTATTTTGTAAACAAAGCATTTCTGGACACATGTTTATATAACCTTTTTGTCTCAATAAATAAATCCCTGTTTATTGAATTGAGTTGAAGTTGTTTGCATAATAATATCGTTTTGTTTTCAGTATATGAGTGATGACCAATTCAACAGACCAACGAGGAGGGCGGTTATAGATTTTTCTAAGTACGTTCCCACTTATAATTACATGTTCAGTTACGTTGGATCATTGGGAGGAGTTAGAGAACGTATTGCACCAGGTATGTTGGGAAGTAATTGGTATCTCATATTCATATGTTTATACATATTTCAACTCATTAGCGCCGTGCGTTGCCATATGATAACAATAGTCAGATGAATATTGGAATCATTCTCAAGCACTCAAATTTCAAGCTATGAAGGTGAGAGTGGCCCACATGATTCACAAAACAACCGGCTTTGCACAAGTCGCAAGTTTTTTTTTTTGTGAGTCAGCTGGTTCGGTCACGTGAATTTGTGAAACTTTGAGTTCATTTTTACTTACGTAAAACATGGACTTACGTTGGAGTACGTATCATCTTCTTTCGCGTCAAATATTCGTGTTACCAACTGGCAACGCTAGGCGCTAATACTCAGCGAATGTGGTGACTCTCCGGCCTAGCCAATGAATGTTCAACAAGTGGCCAAACGATCTTTCACTCGGAATTTTTCCAATACGCCTATTCCAATATGTGATAGGTGAAATAATTGGATGACTGAATGGGAAACGAGGATGTTGTTCAGCACCTGCTCGAAGAAACTAGGTGGTATGCGTTGTTCTTGGAAGTAATCGAGTAGTTCTACTTGTATATGGGTGGAACTGATCAGATGAATCGAACTATCAGTTATTACCGCATTGGAACTCGTACTGGATCCTAATCACATGGATACTAGACAATACATACAGAATAGCTGGATTTTGACATTGACAATGTGTTCGATGTGTTATGTTGATATATGTGTTAATATTCTGAAACAAGAACCATAAGCGCCTAGTGTTGCCACATGGCAACAGCAGATTTTTGGTAAACCTGAATTCCATCTATAATTCTATATACTTTTTTTCTCTTCAGAAAGCAATTCACACTAGGTGTAGGCCATGATATATTAGAGAGAAAAAAAAAGTACTTTCAGCCTCCTGTCGAACCTTTTACAACTGTCATCATCGGTTCGACGGGAAGCATTATATTGGGTGTTGCAGTAGTATTGATTGCATGAATGAGTGTTGATTACTAGAAATCGACTTTTTCGATTGATTTTCGATTACGCGATGAAAAAACCAAGTGTTGAATAGGTTTCTTGACTCCATGTCAGCTCAGGAATATCTTGAAACCATTGAAGCATCGTTTTTGTATGAATTGGTCAGAAAAATCCAGAAGGGCCTCCTTGCGCCCCCTTGGATTGCCTTACCTGAAAAATCACGAAATCAATTCGAGATATTGAGCTGAGCAATCGATCCAAATGAAGGATTTGTGTTTACCATAGCATATGGTTATGGCAGCACCAAACTGAACAGAGGATTTCACCAAATTCTGAATATTTCTCCAAAAAAAATATTTTTTCTTCTGTTGAGGTTGTCGATGATTTCAACGCACTATGAATCCATTTTCTAGGATGTGTTCCGTCGTATTAAGTGGTAAAATACGTTGAATGTGGCTTGCCTAATTTTAAAATTGAAAATGATGCGATAAAAACCTAAAAATAGCATAGATAGCCTACAAAGGCTGTCAGCAACGAATAAGGTATGTCTTTTGTGGGTCCCTGGGCACTCAGGGGTACCAGGTAACGAAATGGCCGATGGTCTGGCCAGAAAGGGGGCGAAAGGTTCAGTGATTGGCCCAGAGCCAATCTTAGGGGTCACTCGATCCTGGAGCAACTCCAAGATGAAGGAAATCCTGACGGAAAAGGTTCAGGACAGCTGGAGAAAGGCTCCTCGAATGAGGCAGTCCAAACTCCATATAGGAAACCCGTCACGAAGACAGACCAATGCCCTCTTGGCTTTGAACAGGAAGGAGCTGAAACTGGTGGTGGGCCTGCTGACAGGGCACTGCCACCTGAACAAACATCTCAGCATGATCGGGATTGTGGAGGATCCAGAATGCAGATGGTGCCTAGAGGATGAAGAGACTTCTACTCACATCCTCACTGAATGCCCGGCAATAGTGGCAGCAAGGGATATCCATTTTGGGAGCAGTATCCTGGACCCAGAGGATGTTAAGAAGATTTGGCCTAGGAAGTTGGTCTCTTTTGCTCGCGAGATCGGCCTTCTCCATGGCTGACTTGCGATCCCAGGAATGTGGGTGCACAATGGGCCCGAAAAGGGAGGCCTAAGTGCGTCAGGTCCCGGACCGCCCACACACATACATACATACATACATACATACAACCTAAAAATAAAAAAATTATCGATTTTGAACATCCTGTATGAGGAATATGGAAAATTACAAAACCTTTTCGAGATATTGGCTTCAACGATCGAAAAAAATGATTAGTAGAAAAATAAAAAGCATTCCCTGGAATACGGAAGCGTTTGAATTCTCTCATTTTTGAAATACTTTTTTCGAACACTGGTGTTTAATGACAGAAAAACTCCCGACGAGTTTTGAACGGGGAATCTTGAAAGAAAGATCGCATCTTCCAAGCACTGCATTCCAATTGAAAATCCATTCATTTTCTAAAGAGATATTGCAGTTTGAAAATTGTCAAATATTTCAGTAGTCCACTTGTTTCTTTGAGCACTTTATATCAACTGAACAGGAAGCAATGCTATTGTCTCCGTTCAGAAGTATGCAAGCGGATTCCTTGATTTTTTTTTGGTTGTCATCTTCCTTTCCTATGATTTTGATATTATTTCACTCTGCCATATGTTGTCCATCTTCAGTAATGATATGTTCAGTTAGCTTCGATTTATCGATATGTCTTTTCTTGATATTGTACTTGTTTGCTTTAACCAGTTTCCCCAATATTCCGTTTATCTTAATTCTACTCCTGGACTCGGATGTCTTGCAGGTAGCTTAAGCGTGGTGACGTTAGACATTTAGATGGAGCCCCGAAAATGCAGGGTCTTCTGATTGAAACCACAATTGTGCGGCTGGTTTTTATTTGTTGACTTCGTCGATTTGTTGTTTCGTCTTCTACCAAGTGTTGCCTATCTTTTGCACTTCTTTCACCGTACTAATGAGAGCCGAAAGTCTGAAACTCTAATATACAGGGTGTCCTTGAAAGGTTGGGAAATCTCGAAACTGGAGGTACCAGATCCAAAAATAATACGATTGGACCAAACATACCTCAGTGGAAATATCGACAGGTAAAAATAAGATACAGGGTGTCTAAGTTATAATTTTATTTTCTATTTTTCCTTAATGCTTGAGCAGTTTTTTAGGTATTGGCATCGAATTCGGTATATGGCGGTTCTTGAATATGAGAAATAGGAACCCGCCTTCAGTTTTGGTCAGACTCCTAGAGGGCGCCACGTACACCAATAATTAGGCAAATAATCTGCAAGGACTTTTTTGTGACACTCTGTATGCAGTTACTGATTGAAAAATCTGGATCTGTCGTTCTTCCTCAACAATAAAGGTGTACTTGTCAGAAATGTCTAATGTCAATACTTTTCAAGCTATTTGCTTTTAAAAGTTTCAATGCAATTGTACTTAATGTAGGTAAACGCTCAACATTCTTTATCGTATTAATCAAGCCGCTCTGAAAAATATCTTTATAGTGTGGCTTGGGTATCAAGGTGAGCACGAGCCCAGTGAGAGTGTTCCTGGGCCAACTCAGGCCCACCCTTATTCTTACGTGCGTGTGCTATGGTTTCTAATGTTTGTTATGAGATTACTTTTTTAAATGTCTTTAATAATTTCAAGTTAAAATTTTATTGTGGACTATTATCAATAATACTAACAGCATACTTGTGTTCGATGAATTGTCTGACATGCATTCAATTAAAATGACCACACATTGCAAAAAAGATAGCATTTTTGATAGAAAATTTTTAAAGGTGCACGAAATAAAATAAGAAATTGAAAATGAACTATTAATTAAAAGTAACTACAAAAACTGCTTAAAATGACCACCACCTTGTCTGATACACTCCCGAGCACGACGAACTATAGCTTGCTGCACCCTCCAAAGCATTTGAATGTTATTTTTGATTTCCTGGCTGTGGTGGAAAATTCTTTGACGAAGTTCGTCCTCAGTTCCCACATTAGTAGCATAGACACGTCGTTTCAATTCACCCCACAAGAAGAAATCCAAAGGATTTAAATCTGGTGATCTAGGCGGCCAGGACACAGGTCCTGATCGGCCTATCCACCGGTCTGGATAAATTCTGGTCAAATGCTTTCTTACTACCAAGCTTAAATGAGGTGGGGCACCGTCGTGCATAAACCACATATTCATGCGCGTTTGCAACGGAAGATCTTCTAGCAGATTGGGTAGTTGTTCTTGAAGAAATTCTAAATACCTTTGGCTATTTAGTCTAGGTGTTAACTCAACAGGTCCTATTAAATGATGTCCGATTATTCCTGCCCATAAATTAATTTGAAATTGCACTTGATGCCTGGTTTGTAGTATACCATGAGGGTTTTCGTATGCATACATGTGTGTTTTATGAGAATTGATGGGACCGTCTCTACGAAATCCTGCTTCGTCCGAAATCAACACTAAAGCGGTAAATCCATTATCTTGATAGAATTTCTCCAAGAGCCATGTACAAAATTCTAGCCTTGCAGGGTAGTCATCTGTACTTTTTGCATATGGTATGGATTAAGCAGTTGCTCCCGAATACTGCTGTTGACCGTAGTTTTTGAAATCTGGAATTCCTGTGCCAGATTCCTAACACTAACTCTAGGATATTCGTCAACAGCAGCCAGGATATTTTCCTCTATTCAACAGTTCGTATAGTTCTGGGAACTCCACCATGTCGACCCATATTTGGCTTGAAGCTACCTTAAATGTAATAATTACGGATTATTATTTACTGATCAAAATAAAGTAATAACAGTTCTCACCAGTTTCTCGCAGCCGCCGATCGACACGTTGAAATGTCTTTGAATTGGGCAATTGTCTATTGGGGAATCTTTCTGCGTACAGTCTTCGAGCTCTTAAGGCATTACATCGTGCCAATCCGTGAATTAAATGCATGTCAGAGTATTCCACAATAAATGTATACTCCATAATATTTAATAGTTCCCAACAATATTTCAACTTAAGATTCTCAGTGATGACATTTATTGTGATCTCATAACAACTATTGGAAACCACAGCAACACTATAAAGATATTTTTCAGAGCGGCATGATTAATACGATAAAGAATGTTGAGCGTTTACCTACATTAAGTACAATTGCATTGGAACTTTTAAAAGCAAATAGCTTGAAAAGTATTAACTTTAGACATTTCTAACAACTACACCTTTATTGTTGAGGAAGAACGACAGATCCAGATTTTTCAATCAGTAACTGCATACAGAGTGTCACAAACAAGTCCTTGCAGATTATTTGCTTAACTATTGGTGTACGTGGCGCCCTCTAGGAGTCTGACCAAAACTAAAGGCGGATTCCTATTTCTCATATTCAAGAACCGCCATATACCGAATTCGATGCCAATACCTAAAAAACTGCTCAAGCATTGAGGAAAAATAGAGAATAAAATTATAACTTAGACACCCTGTATCTTATTTTTACCTGTCGATATTTCCACTGAGGTATGTTTGGTCCAATCGTATTATTTTTGGATCTGGTACCTCCAGTTTCGAGATTTCCCAACCTTTCAAGGACACCCTGTATATAGTCAAGGGGGCATCATGACCTCATAGGAATATCAATATCAAACACATAAATCGAGTTCTCTACAAACTTGGCCTCCATTTGTAGTAATCGAGGTGAATCATCAGTGCCTACAATTATCACCATGATTATTGATCTCGCTAAATCATTTTCACAACCCTTGTTGTGTCATATTACTCATTCTTTATTATGAAATTGAGCAACTTGTACATATCCTACTTGAATATTTGTTGAATCATATACCCGTTCCCACAGAGCTTTGGGATCGAATAAATTATTCAAAGGAAGGTTCTGATAATCAACCCTCACCCTAAGCAGGTGAAATTGTAACAGGCTCTAATCAGGTGCCAGGTGCCGGGATACCTCGATTAGCGATCTTTGTCGAACGTTAATCTTTCTTGTCATACTCATTCGAATATTCAATTCACGCTCGGAAATTGTTTGAAACCGTGAAATCTCTCTGGGGCGATTTGCAGGTATCATTTAATTTACTCAATAAATACGTAATTGCAATTTCAGATTGCCAGAAGTATACAGGGGTCTGGTTATGATTTATAACTGATGAGAACGCCTGGGATTTTGTTTTTCGAATCTAAAAATTCTGAATTGAAACTCTGAAGAGAATTCGAGAGGTTTAGGTGATGACAACGTGACAGTTCTGTAACGTCTTCAATGAACCATATTTAACGCTCTCATGTCCAGCTAACTGAGAGAGTATAGTCTGATTTTATCGAGAACATGCGCTGATTAATCAGCGCGTTCATAAACATAAGATGAATTTTTTGAAAAAAAAAATTCATCATACGCCAACCATATATTGAAAGAAACCCATATTTTTGATGATAATATCGAAAATCTACTCGTAGAGAATAAAGGAATGAAACTTGATCATTTTGAATCATTATAAATTTCACTCAACGATCAACAAGACCTCAATAGTTCACCACTGTTGAATCTGTTTTCTTAGTAGGTAATATTATGTATTTGCTATCAACCCTTTCAAGTTGATCCGGTACACCTTATTTTGATGTAGAAATTGCGCCTAATTTCCGAGAATAAAGGTTCATTGAACCTGTCCACAGGTGACCAATCTTTCAGGTTGGGAAAGTAGGATATATAAAAGTTAGGCAAGCCAACATTGGTTTAGTTCATTGAACCAGTTCATCACCTGATAAAGCTACTGTGTTTGCGAAACATGTCTTGTGTTTGAGAGTTTTGTGGAAATCTTATCGTTTGTGAAGTTTTTACATTTACCATGGATTCCCATCAAATAACGGCCGAGTCAATTCAAGGAAATTGGTTGTATTATTTTTACATCCCTCAATGAACCTTGGTCAAAAGAATTCGATGGTATATTACTCCTCCACTAACAGAATCTCTTTGTTTCACTTTGTTCCCTCTTTCTAAGGCATGGTTTACAATTGAAAATAATGATCGTATTAAAAAATATATATTTTGATTTTCTGTTGCAGGAGTAGGCCATGTAGAAGAATTAGGATATCTCTTCAGGACCTACTATTCGAATTCATCGATTAATGATATACTCACTAGGAAACGGATGGTGCGAATGTGGACAAATTTCGTGAAATATAGGTGAATATCTGAGAACTATGACACTGTCTCACGCATAAAGTATGGTCATTTAAAGTGTGCAACACATGGGAATCTTTTTAATGAATTGCACAACCAAAATACAGATAAAGCTGTTCGGTAATCGATTAAGGTGCACTTGGAAGGGTAGGTCAAAAAATATAAAAATTGCTTAAGAGTAAAGAACCCTCATTTCAGGAAATTCAGCAAAATATTATTTGGAAGAGTTTTTTACAATTGGAAGCTATGCATAAATGCCAAAATATGGCCTCTCACGTCATTTTCTAGTTTTTCAATTTTTTCCGTTAAAAATTTCCCAAATAGTATTTTTTTAGATTCACCCATAACACTTTCATGAGTTAATCATAACAAAATCAGTTGATCATATCTTCGTTCAAATTCAAGCATATTTTTGCAATTAACTTGGATTTCATTTTCTTTAGGGAATCACAAACTTTATGTTTGTTGCAACGATACTTACTCAGCTTAACTTTAAAATTCCGCAAACTATTTGGTGACATCAACTTCCCATCTGATGATGTTTTATCTTGTAAAAAATATGGTTTGCGAAATTTTGAAGTCAAGCTTAATATCGTTGCAACAAACATAAAGTTTGTGATTCCCTAAAAAATCAAAATTCAGGTTAATTGCACAAATATGCTTGAATTTGAATAGAGGTATGCTCAACTGATATTATTATGATTAACTTATGAAAGTGTTGAGGGTGAATATGAAAAAAATACAAATTGGAGAGTAGAATTTGCCTTAGGAGGCCATGTTTTGGTATTTAGGCATTACTTTCAATTGTAAACAACTTTGTTTCATAACATTTTGCTGAACTTTTGAAATAAGGGTACTTTATACTTGAGCAATTTTTGTAATTTTCGACCAACCCTGTATGCTGTTTGACTTGCAACCATTCCAAGTGCACCTCAATTGATTACCGAACATGCACCAACTTTCAGCACTATCTGTATTTTGGTTGTGAAATTCATTAAAAAGATTCCCCTATGTTGGACACTTAAATGACTACACTGTAATATCTCATTTCACCTAAACATATACGGTGGTAATGACCATAGACTCAACAGAACGATTTTGAACAAGGCAGTTATTTGGATTATAATTTCATTGCCCGTAATATGGCAATTATTCATATTGAATTGAAATGCAATTCCTCAATGAAGGTAATCGAAATTGGAGAATTTGAAGCAAAGCTAAGTGAGTTAATATGCTGATGAGGCCTTTCCACGCCTCTTCATATTTCAGTGCTCCTGAGTGAAGCCAATTATCTTTTAACACTTCACTATGGTCGAAAGCCTCACATGATGATTCCGTATTAGCAAGGGTATTAGACAGCGAAAGTATGTCCTATTGGGATTTTTCAACTTTTCGGCAATTTTTCTCGAAGAATCCTGGCAGAGGTCAAATATCATCTGGTCACATCACAATCATTCACATGTCAGGGTGATGTCAGGCAATATTTTCACCCATTTGAAATATTCTCCTTCAATATTCCGAACAGCAAGACTGATACTGATGTGATTTCAGTTTATCCATCCTAAATAATTCTATTTTCTGAAGTGTATCCAAACTTAGATTATAAGAGGGTAGATCGATTCTTTTTTTTCAATTTTAGAATATAATCATTTTTTTCCTCATATACAGGGTGTTCAGAAATTCTACCGACGATGCTTGACGAGTGAAAGCACGTGTGATTTCATAATAACTGAGATATGGATGGATGGTCTTCAAGTATCCCGTTCTCGAGAAACAGGGTGGTAAAATTAGGAAATGAAAATAGTTTCTTTGCAATAACTCAACAATGATTTGATATTTTGCATTTACATTCGGTATACGGTTCCATGTTCAAATATTTGATTTTTTCACCATTGAGACATTTCGAATAATTCATCCAGTGCACAGATAAAATGGATTTATTGATTCAATGCGAAACAGCATTGATTCAACCATATGGCACTCTTGAATAGGTTCAACGAAATATTTGTTAATATATATTCCAAATATTCCATCCCATATTCGAACAAATTTGTTTTCGCAACAAGAAATTTCTAGCTTGTTACAAATAGATACTTTCTCATTATAATAAGTGGATATTGTTTCAGAAGATCCTCATTCTCTTGTGCCAAGAGATTATCACCATGAAGGAAATCAGAATGGAGCTTACTATCAGAGTATTGAGTATTGAATAATTTTTTTTTTTACAGTTGGTGAACAAAAGGCTTCTTCATCAAAACTTGGTCATGCTATTATGACATAACAAGAATAAAAACTGTAAAATATACATAAAAACATAATTATACAAATAGTGAAATCCTCAAATACTATGTGTAGCTAAATTCGAAAGGTGGAATATTGATTTTTCTAATTCTTCATGATTTGCTATCCTCGTCTATCTCCTCAGAATGTCACTGTGATTGGAATGACTTGAATGTTGAACCACGAAAACGAGTGAAATTATCAATTGTAATTTACGTCGTGTGTTTTGCAAAGTGGCTCTTTGAATCATTAACCGTATACCTATAGAACTTGCTTCAGAAGAAAATAACATTTCCATTCATCACAGCCAGGCATTGTCGATAACAAACAGAATTTCAAGACAACCAGATATTTTCTGGTTACAAGGAATTTTGCGTTAGGCAAAAGGGCATGTATAAAAGGTGTTGAAGGTATGTAAAAACACGAAGAAAAGAGACATTTTATTATGAGTTCAATCATTATAATCAGGATGCGTGTAAGAAATATACAGAGAATGGACAATTACCTGCCTATACCTATTAGTGCGTTCATCGAATGAATGCGACTGGTCAAATCGTCACTGCTGAACGAATGTATGTGTTTTGCAGGTTATACAAACATGGCCATATGCGTTGACAGTGATGTGAGGTTATGGTTTCAGGTTTCATTGATATCAAGATTCTCAGCATGTTCTCGATAATATAAGAAGGAAAAACACCTCACTAGGTACAACTATGTTACAAAAATATACAAAGTTCCCTCCCCTGCAGATTTTCCTCAAATATGAAATGCTGTATTGCTGTGAAGATGATACTACCTCACTATCATCCATGACTCAGCACACTTGATTCTTGAACACTTCTCCATCGAAAAACAAAGGTATTCGCACTGTCTTAAGAGGAAACAACAGCGGCAATGACGAATGGTGGCTAACGACTGAGGAGTCGAATGGGTGCATAAGTAGTGCTGTATATACGTCACTACAAGTCTTTTAGACAAGCTGGGATTTTCTTGAACCAATATAAATTGGAATTTATGTCACTTGTATTCGCGGGTTTCTTCAGTGAAGAAATTTACTGTTTATGTTGAGCGAATTCACATCGGGACATTTCAAGGAGCGGAGTATGCAAGTCGAATGATTTGAGACAAGTGGATTCGTTTGTTCAAAGAAACCCATTTTATCTGTGTGGTGCGCTACAGGGGGTTCTGGGAACTTTCCCTCCAATTTTTTCTACACCACTGACTTTGATTATTTTCAAGCCCATGAATTCATCACCATGTCAATTTTGTTCAAAGAATGCACTACCTTCTACTGACCCAAAATGAACAGTTTTTGGAAAGGCAGGACAACGCTGTAGATGACGATCTTGCTGAAATTACAATCAAGGAAACCAACCTAGCTGGATGCAACTCCACCAGAACTCAAACCTGTGCCTAAAATTTCTGTAGGAAGGCGAAACTCCAGATATAACAATGTCTTCTACCATCAATCTCATCAAGACCCTTATATCGATACTAGGTATTTTCATCAGCAATACTCTCTTATGATGGAATTATGTCCAATTCATCGCATAAGATGCTTCATGAAGACTCGGATTCTGATCCCTGGCTAAAATCTATATGACAATTCAACAGGTTCTCATGATCTATAAAGCACAGATACGGCCAGTTTCAGAATACTGTTCTGACATATGGGAATAAGCACCAAAACATACGCTGATGCTCCTAGATTCCATCTAGAAAAGAGCCATTCGGACCAATGGGTGATGCCACACTCACTTATCGACTTCATTGAAACACCTCAAAAAAGTCGGCGACCTTTCACTTTTCATTAGATACTTCCACAGGAAATTTTCCTTAGGAATCTCTGCTATCATTCCATCATCACCATCAATAGCTCTCACAGCACCCGACAGGCCCAGTCAGCACAATCTCTCATTGTCAACCTTGAAACATGTCGAACAAGACTCTACCAAAACTCGTTTGTCTATAGAAAGGCAAAGTTTTGAGATTCTATTCAATGAAAGTATTTCCAAGAACTTATTGATAATTTCAAAAAGTTCAATACTGATTTCAACACATACCTTTTCTCCCTGTTCTTACTAGATACGCACGATGTTCACCATAGGCATTTCTTTTCGTGCGCTCCAAGAGATGAAAGAAAAATCGACTCAAATTGGCAACGTACATGGTTATGTTACATCATTGTCAGCTGCAGGAAATTCCTAATTTTTGCATGAAATAAACATTTTCTACAGAATGAGATAGAAAAAATGTGTGATCTACTCACCACAGAAATTATTTTTGTAAGTTTCTGCTAGCTACTGAAAATGATAGAAAATCTTTAGCAAAATTTTGTATTGTGTCCATTATCTCGAAAACTCTATATGTTAACTCTATGAATGAAGATGATGAAGTCTCCTAGAGTGAAACACTCCGAAAGTAAAATACCTATCCATTCGCATTTCCGGGCGAGAGGTTCTCGGGGAGACTCATCTCTGCAGATTAATTTTTGCAACATCCGCGGACTCAACGAAAACATCGATGACGTTCACCATCATCTACAGACGGCAAAACCAGATATTCTCAAACTAACAGATACTCAAGTGGACTCGTTCACCAACAAAGTCCACATGCTTTGTCCTGGTTACGAACTCCATTCTCGATTCAGGTTCAAAGGTGGAGTCTGCATCTACGCTTAGGCTAACCTTTCATGCCAGCGTGTAGTGAGTTTGGAACCGAGA